AGAATTACATTCCATAACTGTTGAACCAGATGCGTCGGGAGATTTCCCTTCCTATCTTCATTCAAATTGTCGAAAAGAAAGAAGAGCCAACTGATGTACTCAGCATATGTAAAAATTGTTAGATTTTTATACTTCTGTAACTAATTAGAATATAAAGAAACCAATGAATGCATTTTCAGTACATTGGAAATGTTGTATAGGTTAATTTTCAGTCAGATTTACGCAAGAGTTTGAGATATTGACCCAGTCTTGCTTTCGATCGACAGATTTTCTGCTGGTTTTTTTTTTTTTTTGACGCTCACTCGGTAAAAAACAGATGATGGTTTTAATGCTAGCTGTTGATTATCCTTTTACAATTTGAGTTAAAATTGACTTTATCTTTTGTTGCAGCACGCTCTCAAACAACAAACTGAAGCACTTGCCGAAGGAAGTTTTCAGTAGAAATTCTAATCTGCTAAAACTGTAAGTCATATTGATATTGTCAACTTCTTTTGTATTCCGATGTATTGGAGAATAACTGATGGAAAATAATGTTTCATTCAGCGAGGTGCTTTGGGTGCGTTTCGCAAATCAAAATGCATGAATTTCGCAAATTAGCTAAATTAAATTCTGTAATTTCTGAGTGATGAGTAAACTTTGATAAGATATCTATGTCGGACCATCAATATCAGAGTATTTATTTCTTTGCTCGGTTTGAGTATTGAATATTTTCTTTCCATGCCGCAGAAGTTCACCATTTTTACTATCCGGTATTTTAGAAACAGTCGTAACTTTAACTGTATGTGCTTCTCATTCATAACCAAGTTTGGTGACCACACCTTTCTTTTCATGTTAAATTGCAATCAGCATATAAGGTGGTAGGTTTTTGCTGAGAGTTTGAAAAAAAAAAGCCTTATCGATAATTTAAGGTGGGTCCAAATTTATTCCCCTAATATTTTAAAAAGTTTCCAAGAGCTAAGTCATAATGTGCTTACTGGTGCTGAATAATTAAATCTTGGGTTCACCGCACTCGTTTTTGAGTGAAAGACAAGGGAAGCTAAAACTGGATGACACTGCATTAGACTGTAGTGTTGCTATGGTAAGTTTTTGAGCCAAAAAAACTGTTCAAACCTTTTAAGCAATAATTTCCACGGATATTCCTCACAGATGTGGAATTGGTTGAAAAGTTCAAACTAAATTGTTGGGAGGTGTACTGATCTAATAGTTGATAAAAGTTATCTTGTTTAAATGGTCACTGCTCCATTGAGAAGGTGAATGGCATAAGGATAATCTTGATGAATCTACATTTCTGTAGATCAGCCATTATGAAATTGACAAATGTTTTGAAGTTAAAGGAAGAACTCATAGCAAGTTAATTTTTGCGTGAAGCTCAAATTAACAAGCACCATACGGACAGTGCAAGTCCATAATTTTTTTTGTAAGCTATGTAATTCTGGTTAACAGTGGAGTAAATAAGGTAATTAGGTAATTTGGTATTATTAACTGATTTGTTAACGTGAATTGGGCACCGTAATTAGTTTCAAAGCCGCGGTTTCAAGCGTTAGCCCTTCGTCAGAGCAAATCGCCAATTTACAGTGTCAAATCAGTTAATAGTACCAAATTACCCTGTTATACTCTTCCACCGACGTAGCACCACAGTTTCTTTAGAAACGTACCCCCTTTATAAATAGGTACTTCATTTGTTACTTTGTTCCTAGGGACCTGTCCAAGAACAAGTTGCAGAAGTTGCCAGCGGGGGCCTTTAGTAACAACTCAAGGCTGGAACATCTGTAAGGAGGACGTTTCTTCAGCTTACGAACATTCATTGATGATTTTTTGACCACGTAAAAATGAGAACTACAGTAGATCAGAAATTACAGTGTATGTTTCCTGCCCGGAAGAAATGATATCGTAATCATGTGTCCTGTTCCGGAGAGTTTCCATGACTTGCAAAAAATAACACATCAAACTGTGGGGGAGCACTACAAATTAAAGACCATCCATATCGAAAGCGCGAAGATCTAAGAAATTCCTCATGTTTTTCAAATTTATCGTGTTTCAAATCGACAAAGTTCACGACTGAAAGTCGTTGACAATCATCCCTGTGATTTCTTTTATTTAACCCGACTTTTCCAATATCTGCTTGTACCACCCAAGCACTTTACAGTGATTTTGATGTTTTCGCCGATTGGAAAAGATTTTTTTTTTTAATTGCAAAAGTAAGGGTCGCACTTGGAATGTCCCCCGACGACAGATTTTATCCACCCAGAAAACACATCTTGGAAAACTCTTTCCAAGTGCAACACAAGCCTATGACACAAAAGTATACAAAGGCCACAGATTTAACCAGGAATCCACCACTGACATGCAAGTGCATAAAATTACAAAGAGACAGAGACCTTCCAATACATTAATTTTTGTTCGTGTTGTCCACCAGGTGTAAAGCAGGCTGGTCCTATCACCAGCGAGATTAAAGGAATATAACAACAAGTGATTTAAAATGAGTCCTCCATTTCTTTCAATATGCGAGTTTTAATCATCGACAAGCAATTAATCTGATCAAAGTTTTCGCCATCTTTTAAAATTTGTACCACTGCCTAGAAAACCAGATGGTTTCTCTTGAAATGTTGGCAGATTAATTGAACGATGTTATTTTGCACGAGAATCTCTTAAGGGTAGAGTAACAACTTGATCTAATTATCCATTAACGTGAGTCAAATATAAACGTTGTTATTATTTTGAAAAAGTATTGGGTGCTTTCAAGATGTAGCTAGGAAAACACACATGCCGCCGACAGCAGAGTTCACACTTCGTTGAAATGACTCATTTGTTCCAGGATCTTGTCCAACAACCAGTTACAGAATTTAACGCAAGGAGTGTTCGCTGGCATCAAGGTTTCCCTCCGAGGGATGTTGACACTGTAAGTAAGACTCCTATACTGCAAATCAACGTTAATGAAAAGCAAAACAAAAAATCGGAAATCAATAAATTAAAATTGAATTTGGTTAACTATGGAGCCAAACATCCAATAGCTCGAGCCACCGCTTTCTAACCGTCCATAACTGCTTAGTATGATCACACAAAGCCTCTGGTTTCACAAAGTTTGTATTACAGCTAACGGTAACGGAACAGTTTTTCCGCCGTATCGTTACTTTTAACATTTAGCCCAAGGGTTGCTTAAAGTAACTGTTGAAATTTTTGTCCAGGGAGTTGAAAGAATACATCTTTGTAAGATAATTTCAAATATTTCGTTAAGTTTATCAATAAGCGAGTTCAATTCAATTTAATAAATGAATAACCAATGAATCTAGTATGATCACGAGCGACGTTAATCCTCATGAGACATTTTAAATCGGTAAACAGCTTCAGATGTTTGAATGTTGGACCATGCAGGGGCCAGAGGATAGCACATAAAGTTTATTTTAACAATCTGTTTATTACTTCTTCCAATTTTAGATTAGATTTTCATTCCAGCCAAGTAATCTAGATAGTATCAACCTCAGATAATGCCGAATAAACAATGCTATATTCGGCCTTAGAATAATGGAATATTAGCAAGGCCGGGTTAAATTTTTCAGTGAGATATATCCGATAACGTTAAAAATAGTTGCACATTATTTAAATCGTACCGAGAGTTTTTTTAATAATATACTTTCTCATGCACCATGCAGATATTCCTTTTAATCTGGATTATAATTCATATAAGTTACTTCGGACTGACTCAACATTATTCTTCAACACAAGGTTGTTTTTGAGGAAGGGCCATCGTGACTTATTTTCGGTCGCTTCGAACACTTGCTTTTTTCGCAAAATACGTGAATCAATCGGCACTTTGTGTCAAGGTTTCTTTCAAACCGATAGAAAGTTTTTGCGAAATGCCGCGTATGAACGATTCCAATCGACAGAGCATGTCTCTAGTGGAGCTTTCTGACGAAATTTTAAAATAGAAAAACTGTCCGAATCAGCTGTTGTGAAATCTTAATTTTAAAACGAAGCACGAAACCATCTTTTTACAGTGTCAGCCACTGTTACATCGATAGCTCAACTCTATTTCGTTCATCAGCAGGTTTGTCTAGGTAATCACATGATTTCGAATGCAATTTGGAATAAATAAGCACGAGTAAAAAATTTTTTTGTGGTCTTTGAAAAAATTAACAAGGTAGTACTTGTTTACTCCAAATTGCTAATCAATTAGCAATTAATTATTTAATTCAATTATCTGATCACAGTATCCGCTATCTT